ACTCGGGAGGGGCCACATTTCAGCGAGGCTCGGCCGCGTTATGCTGTTCGGATTCTAGGATGCAGTAAGAGGGCAACATGTTCTGACGTGACAAAGCCACGATAGTTGCACTATCTCGGTGAGAGAGCACAGACGAGCAGACATGACGTGGCAAAGCCTAGTTGGGTAGTGGCCCCTTCCGTAGTAAGTGACGCCTAGCATGAGTTTATTTGCACCAACGTTGAACTGGACAAATTATTATTGTATACTAATTAATATTGTTAATCTTTATATTGAACAATCATTGAAATGTGCTTGTAAAGTTTTCTGCTGCTCCAATCGACGCAGTAAAAATGGAATGTCCCCTTGGTGATGAAAAAGGTTAAAATAATAAAAGTTAATGTGAAGAAGACGAGTTATTCCTCAACATCGGCTTGCATTCCGCACAGTTCATATGGGCGGAGACAATTAACCACAGTACCTTTCTCACAGACGCGCTCTTCTCTCCATCGCTTTAGCACTGCACTCCATTGCGCCAATGAGAAAGGACCGCCAATAACTAGACGGTTGAGAGAAGCGTCTGCCAATGGGGAAGTCGCCATTGTTGACAGTTCCCGCCCACTGAGTGAGCCTAGAATGCGTCTTCAGGTGTCAACTATTGTCCTGACGTGCAAGATTTATGGTAATCTTGTGACTTTTTTGAACGATAGGTCCTTCAATAGATCATCACGATTCTAGTCTTTTTCATTTTCTCCCCGTTGATATGCTTTTCGCAGACGCCACTATGGAAACAGATCCAATCAAGGTATTTCCGTACATCCGTAACCACACTGCCACGAGTAGAAATGTCACTCTGAAATGTGTGGTGAGTAGTATTACATCATCTGAGAGAGTAAGTATCGATCTAGCAACTAGCTGCGTCAACTAGCATCCACCAGCGACCAGCAGCGTCCACCAGCCTCCGTCAGCGATTAGCAGCGTCTTGAGGGCTAGTGAAGTGTAGGTATCGACCTAAGAACCAGCAGGTCCACCACATCATCCACTCAGCGACCTCATATCTCTCCATACTCTACCAGCAGTCTGCTACCTTCCTATCACTCCTCTCTACTCCTGTAGGCTGCTGGTTGCTGGGACGCCGGTGGACGCTGCTGGCCGCTAATATCGATGGCCTATAGCTTTCCTGGCTATGACACTAACAGAACATAGGCACTGCTGTCACTATTGGAACTGCTGGGAAACCAGATCTATATCTTACTTTTCCTATTGCTAATGGCGCAGGCGGACGCTGGCGTTCGCTGCCTGCAAGTATTGAACGCAGCTCTTACGACGCGCCAGAAAAAACGGAAAGGGTTGTCTTCGTTTAGTGATCCTAAGGCTGGTAGTCTGGGGAAGCTTGGCTCTGCCTAGGGAAGCAGGGAAACGGACTTTGTCGCGCTATCGCATAGATTCCTATACTTCGGAAGCGTCCTAATGGATACTGCTCATGTACTGCTCAGAGACCCAAACTGATTGTTCGTTCCCACTAGTTCATAGTTTCGTCCTTATTGACCGACAGGCCCGATGGACACTTGTTAGGGGGAGGGGCACCGCGCGATCTCCGCACACGGCATAGGTGATGTGGGAGCGGCGACGTGTCGGTTTGCCCATTGACTTCGAACGACATTGGAATATTCTTTAGAGATCTCACCAATTTCAGGCCGTCCGCGTTCCAATGCAATACGTATTATAGTCACAATCCAGTCCTTTTGCAACAGCACTCCCACTCACGTTATCTTCTGAAATTAGCCTTTGCATTACTCGCTCCACTATCCGCCCTGAAAAAGGTAGTTGGACTATCACAAGCCCGGAATCTCTTCTACCCTGAAACTTTGTCCCTGAGGGTTATCCATTGCTTTGATATCAAGCGAGGTATTGATTTTTGGCGTGGGGATCGATTTGATAGCATCACGTTCAGCGCGGAAGTTCGTCTTCACTAAAGGGTGATCAAAAACCCTTATCACGGATATGGCACTCGCGCTAAAAATTCACGGTCTTCTTAGTGCGAATGCTGGGGCGTGCCAGGGAGACCGGGTTTGGCACGGTGCCAGCCCGCTCTCAACCAGTTGTTCAACGGGCAAAAGGCTACAGTTGGTGGAGAACGGGCTGGCACCGCGCCAAACCAGGTTTCCTTGCCACGCCCCAGCACACGCAGCAACGAGACTGTAATCAGAGCTTTGAAGAACCACCATGGACGAATTTCTGCACTTGTTATTTAATTTTTGTATTGCTGGAAAGGGCCAAGATATTTTTCAATTTGTAGTCATTTGAGATATAGAGGAAGTGCTTACCCTGCAGGCTAACTGCTCGTGCGTCTTCATTCCCACACAGAACGCGTCCTTCCCAACATTACTCGATGGGTCACAGAATCGCTCTCTGATTAGGCTGACCCTTTTTAGGTAACTGACATCAGTATCTGCATCACTTTCTCTACGTCTTCTCGCTGAAAATATGAGATGTAAACTCAGACCTCTGACGGTGACTCCAATCGTTCCATCAGCTGGACTAGCAAGAACCTTTTCGACAAGGGACTTAAAGTCACATTTCGTGATTATTTGAATGGTTGAAATCCTTCCGTACATGAGCTGTGTAGCTCCACAGCAACCTCAACAATCTGATCGACGAGGCGTGTCAGTGTTACGGGGGATTCGGCGTGGCCTCAGCTCGTTTTTCAGCAATCGTCGCCAGATGAGGCGAGCAGTGATGGGTGGAAGATGAGCTGACACTGTTCCAAAATCCTCGTCACACTGACATGCCTTGTCGATCCGCTTGTTCACGACTATAAGGATCTCCATTCGAAGGTACCCAAGGAGGGCATTAAAACACTCATTACCATGAGACCCGCCTAATACTTCTTTTAGGTAAGGTATGTGACAAGACATTCGTGTTGCCGTGGTATGGGCGTGGCATAATACGCCGCGCTCACTAGTGCGGCGCGGAAAACTTCGCGCGTTCGAAACTGAGTGAACGGAAAGATCAATACCAAACGGCAAGGAGACCTGCCTGCCCTTGAATTCAGTGGTGAATCACGTTGTTTCCTGAATGCGCTTCCCAAACAAGGCAAGGGAAAATATTTGGGGAAAACGACCAGGTCTCCCGCATCTCCATCTCTGATACCAGCCCTCTCACCCAAAATCCCACCGTCCCTTTAGCAGTCTATCCTTGCCAAGCTTCCTTTTCCCGGAGACCAGATTCCGCCAATAATCCCCATTTCTCCAGCAAAAGCTGTGAGAGGCGGGAGATGGCACGTACGTGGTGCCCGCCCGTACTTTACTGGTCCGAACATCTCTATTGATCGCATGCTGGTCTGATACTGAAAGCCAAGAGGGTTTAAAGACAATTCGATCAAGTGTTGCGGATAGTTGGTGCTCCGTCATGAACCAGTATCCCACATAGGTAGCTCTCAGTAGAAAAAGAAGCGGAAAAAACCTCGGGAACACCTTAACACAGACTTCATCCCAGCAGTCTTGGACGAGTACGTCGGGCGCGAAGGACGTGCTCTCCATATTGATCGGAGCGCAAAGCTTGAGCCGTGGGACCAGGGCACATTATTGGTGTGGGATTTTAGTGCTCTATATGACCCCCCCTTTTTCTTGGGAGTTGGTGCGACCCCCTCCCTCCCCAGCACTCTGTCCTTCCTTCCTTCCTCATCGAATCGAGCCGTCAAAGCGGGGGCTTCTGCCCCATTTTTCCAAAATTTCCCGAAAACTTCCCTACTTTTTACCAAAAATTTTGCTGTCGAGCGGGGGGGGGCATATAGTACGTGAAACAGGAAAATCAAAAGTCAACCGCCACTCCCACAACGCCAAACGTAATAATACGACCGCCCTCACCTTTACAAACGTCCGAAGCCGCAGAACGATCACGATCAAAATCTTTTCTCAGCCCAGATCACGCGCCCCTATTGGGGATTCCCCAACAAACGATCGGCCCGCGTAGAACCGTCGCCGTAAGTCGCCAGGCAATCCTGGCCAAGCGATGCGCATATCGTGTTCGGGGTGAAGGTCTGCGATACAAAATTTTTATCGTTTTTAAAAGCTCGATGGCAAAATAGGTCTGATGTCGGAAGATGGGGTAGTAACAATTGGATAGTGGTCCCATCTAAAAGATCATTAGGTGAGTCTGAAAACATACTAACTGCTCTTCATTTCTTATCCTCCTCTTGCCATGAGTACGGGGAAACGAAAGCTTACTTGCTCTTGTGATCATGAAACTCAAAAAAATGGTTGCTGATCTTCATCCACATCCTCCTAGTTAGAATCGCGTCGTACAAAGAACCATATGGACCTAAAACCCTAAACTTATTCAGTTATGTCAACCGGTGCGGAGTCTGCCGCGTTTATCGCTTAGGAAAGCGGGACACCGAAGATGGCAAAGTGCCAGAGAGCGCAAGCGCCGACACGTGCCGCGGGAGCAGGCCGGTGCGTGTAGGGATAGAATCTGTTCGCGAGCCGTGGCCTCGTCCGCCTACAGTATGATGTTGCCTCTGTAGCCACGCGCAAATCTCTCTAACTTCTTTATCGCGCCGTATTGAGGGATGAAAGTGGTATGTTCTTTATGAACACGTATAACAGTTCAAAAGGCACGGAGCCATTTTGAGGACCACTTGATCGCGGGGAGTGTCTTTAATATCAGGCGTTTTCGACAGTTTCCTCTTTCCTTTTTTCAGTTATAACTAACCTAGCGCTTCAAAAATTCATACTCGGACCCCAGCGCTCACTATGTCCAACCGCGTAATGTACCTTTAGGATTTATGCTCCTCTCTCTGTAAGGCATTACAACGTTTATTTTTTGGATCAAATATTGCGTAGACGTCATAAATGGTAAACTTCCTGGAGCATTCTTGGAGATTACACTACAGAGCTTCATAGACTTCCTGCGAATATGGTGTATGTATGGGCGGGGTTCTATCCATGGGTGGGGCATCCATACACGGTACTTGGTGTGGACATTCTTTTGAGATTGGACGTCACTCTCTTAGTGGGTTAAGTGCCAGTGGTCCAACACACCCAAAACATCCAAAATCCAAAACAATCCTTACGATTATATCCGAATCCGGCCAACGACATTTCGTGGTTGAGTTTCGTGGTTCTGGATGGGAGACAAACGGAATCAAAGCGCCACTGCTCTTCTGGCAGTGGCTCGGCCAATTGCACAATTGCAATATCACCTGATCGACACCTTGACCCGTAATAACGGCGAGCGACTCCGATCTGAATGTGGACAGTGGTTAATTGTAATTAACTGCTCACAGACAAACTGTACACTCACTTCTGAGTCCTGATCCTTGCCATGTGCTAGGTGAATGGGTCCGCGGCTGCGGTAGCGTGCCACTTTCCCGCTCAAAATGCATGGGGATGGGCCTGGAGGGTAAGGCTGCGTTTATACTTTGCGGCAGCGTAGCGTAGCGCTTCCAGCGTACGCCAGCGGCAGTGCCGGGGAGAGGATGCATATCGATCTAGCGTTCCCAGCGTCACCAGCGTTTTGCTAGCGTTTGCAGCGGCAGGGGAGTAGAGACTATGGGAGAGCTGGAGGGTACAAAACACATCGATTGCGCGTCTCTCACTCGCCCTCAGTCTCTACAATACACATCGATTCCGCGTCTCTGACGGCCACATAGTCTCTACAATACACATCGATTGCGTCTCTGACGGCCACATAGTCTCTACTCCTCCGCTCTCTACGGCTACGTTACGCTGGTGGACGCTGGAAGCCTAGATCCGATATCCATCCTGCTCCGGCCACTGCGCTGGCGTACGCTGGAAGCGTTATACGCTACGCTACGCTGCCGCAAAGTATAAGCGCAGCATAATAGTACATTCGTCATCCGGTGACTTGACTTGGGCGGCAGAGGCCGATCGCGACGCGGCTTGCGATGTGTACGATGCGCGAAAAGTGATACAGCTGTGGCAGCCTATTTTAGCCATTTCTCCCTAGGTCTACTTCTGCTTTGGTCGCTTTTCTCACGATTATTTCTATTTTTTTGAGGTTTAATTGTGTCTGTGATCTACATGAAGTATTACACGAAGAGTTTTTTCTAATTTGCATCTTAGAGTGTTTTTTCTCGATTTTTTATTTTCAGCTGCTTGTTCTGTCTGCTTACTTATTTATATGTACGCAAAAACCAGAAGAATCTCAATCCTAATTTAACTTATGAAGACAAGAAATAACTAATCGTGAGAAAAGCAGCCAAAACAGCGTAAAATAGGGAGAAAATTACTAAAATAGGTTGGAAACAGCTGATCGCCGCTCGCGACACACCGCAGCCGCGTCGCATCCCTTGCCGTAATAATCAAGTTACTGGATGACGACTGATAAGGCGAGTGCTGTCTCCCGATTCAGCAAAGGCTGTCGCACAGTCAGTCACAAGCCGAACCACAACTGAACGCGCTACTTGTCTGCGCCCTCTCAGTTCTGGTTATTCTCTACCGCGTGTTTTCGTGAGTCGGCGCAAACGCTGCACATTGAGGATAACGCGGGCGATGATGACGACACCACAACCATATTCTCCAGCAATGTTCCCGTGCACTTTAATCGGAGAAACTTTGCTAGAGCTACCCTCGTACATGGCAGGGACCCCCTCGAGGGTTGGTGAACAGTTTGTCTTAAAGACAGTATCCGCGCTCGAGAGGCCTTCAAAATGACTTCGCGCCTTCTGGAACCCTCTGCGCCTTGATGAAGATGATCCCGCTTTTATCCATCAATGGCGCGCGATGAGGAAGTTATCGCAATTTCGACAAGGCTCGCTAGGCTCACGGAGACGGTAGGTGGACGAGGCGTCTGGTCCCGAACTGCATCCGTCCCTTTAAAGCCCGCGCGTCCCTTTAAGCCCGCGGTCCCACTGGCATTTTGCCAAAGTTGGCTCATAGCTCAGCTAAAGGTCTTACTTCGGTCAGGCTTGTAAACATGTGTGAAAGTGCGGAACCATTAAAGGACGCAATTGCGGCTGCCGCATCGAATTCTGGCAGCCACGCCCGGCACACTCGTCCAGGCCCCGCCCCCACTGCTAAAGGTAGGTTTGGGTTCAAGGTGTTCCCGAAGATTTTTCTGCTTCTTTTTCTACTGAGAAGCTAACTATGGAATACTGGTGCATGACAGAGTACAATTGCCCGCAATACTTGATCGCGATAATTGTCTTTAAAGCATGATTTGCCAAGCAGCCAGTTCACTTGAGCCTTTCCTGGTCCTAGTCATTGATCTCCCACCACCAGAGGAATCAAGCTTGCTAAGGCTGCGTTCCTTCTTCTGCGGCAGCGTGCACCAGCGAAGCGAGCAGCGTTTTGGCGTCTTGCCGGCATACCGTCAGCCGCTAGCGAAAGTAAGGATATCGATCCAAGCTGACAGGCAGCGCCAACCAGCGTCCTCCCCCGTCAACCAGCGTCTGCCAGCGACCATCGGAAATCTCGAGGGACTAGGAAAGTATGGATATAGATCTAGCGTCTACCAGCGCCCAGCAGCGACAGTAGACAGTCTGGGAAGTATGAGGGTAGCAGACTGCTGGGTAGAGTATGGCCGAAAGTAGGAGGGAGGAGACAGCTGGGATTAGGCGTGTGAGAAAATTGTACAGTGGGGCAGACTGCCGCCCTACTGCACGATTACCGTACTCAGCTGTCAATTGATGCCGTTTAAGGACGCTGCTCCTTGGCTGTTGTCGGTATTTATGAAGCGTTGTGACCTTCATTATGTACAATCCTCATTACTTTACTTACCTACCCTCAACGCTGAGGCTGAGCCTTAACGAGTGATTCCCTCCATTCTAGACTCATCCTTGGCAGAGCGCAAATGATCGTAGTGTCTTTCATTAGCGCCAGCGCCAAGAATGAGTTTCATATTCGTAATAAGGAATAATGGAATCTTCTTGGCGCTGGCTAACTACGTGGCTAAATAATCCCTCTAGACAACTTTTCAACAGATTTGATGATATAGGCACTCCGTAGAGGGACAGCGACCAAAACTGAGCGCGTCCAAACGGCATCATTTCTTTTCTGGTCGCTGGTGAACGCTGTCGCAAAGTATGAACGCAGTTTTGGCGTAGCGATTTTAATTTCAGTAACTTTGTAGACCAAATACTGTCAGTCTGCAGTACAGAAAAGAGAGCAAAGCGTACTTACATGAGCAACCTTGCCCTTGGTCATCATGTGGTACCCCTCAGTGCAGTTACTTCCACTTTTCAGCACTGAACATAACCCACCCACAAGCACCTGCACTGGTAGCTCTTTTGGAGAAGATTGTGTGCCACTTCTGAAATGCGAAAATTGAATTGAAAAAAGGAAAAAAATAATAGAAGATTTAGCAACAAAGCTGATGGTTTGGCTGCGCTCATACTTCGCGGCAGCGTCTACAAGCGTCTACTAGCGTCCACTAGCGTTCGAGCGTCCGGCAGTTTCAGCGTCAGGAAAATATAGATATCGATTTAGCGTCTGCTCGCGTCCACCAGCGTTCATCAGTGACCGGGACTAGAGGGTATGGGGAGCTAGGATTTGGATTAGGTGTCACGAAATTGCGGCGTGTGCAACCGCATCGTACAGCTACACTCTACCGTATATTGAATTGCATAATTCTGTGCCTCAAGCAGTTTCGCTGCGGTGCGGTTGCACACGTCGCAGTTCCACGACGCCCAATCCAGGTGTTTTCTGCCCTGCTACTTTCCCATACTCCCTACCCCCGGTCGCTAGCGAACGCTGGTGGACATGGCATAGCTCGCAGACGCTGGATCGAAAATTTTCCTTCTCGCTGACGCTGCCGGACGCTCGAACGCTAGAGGACGCTGGTAGATGCTAGTGGATGTTGCAGCAAAGTATGAACGCAACCTTACCGTATTGCGCTAGGTCCCGCTTGGCATTCACGTTCCCTCACAAAACAATGAGCGGCTGTCAGTACGTGCTGCCGGCTGATAAGTACACCTGTACATTGGCTTTCTCCTGAAAATAGTCTTATAGAGACTTGGTGAATTGCTGGTTGAACGTTCTAGCTCGCTCAGGATTCGAACCTAAGCGTCTTGCTTACCTTGGCCCCAAGCATATTTAATCGCTGCACATACCAGTGAGCGCGGAAGCATTTCAGACTATTCGGAAACGCGCGCAAGTCTTTAACGCCGTCTTACAAGTAATCAAAGTGATATCTCATAGCGGCAGAGTTGGTATGACGTGGGAGAGCCTACTAACAGTGCCAACTATATCATTTCAGATTGGTCTCAGACCTCAGCCTCACTTGCGGACCATTGCATGTCACCAGGCTCTCTAGTTGCTAGTCTACCAGCAGAGTAGGGGGAGGGGTCAGGCATTGGCTGGCTCCAGGTGGGAACCGGCTAGGGATTGGGGCCCGACAGCACGCTCCTCCATAGATGAGCATCACTTCACACTTTCTTGGCACCTGCAATTTGCTAGATCCACAGAGAACCAAGAGTTTCTAGCGAACACTAACTTGTTCCTTCAAGATATTTAAGGCGTCATAGGCACTAATCGCAGGCTGCGTTCATACTTGGCGGCAGCGTCATCCAGCGGTCAATAGCGTCCACCAGCGTCTCGTGCGCTGAAGAAGTATAGGTATTGCTCTAGCATCTGCCAGCGTCTGTCCAGCGTGCCCAGCGTCTACCAGAGTCTGGAAAAGGAGAATATGGCGTGAAAGGAGGGCAGCAGACAGCTGGTACCCTCCTATCAGGCCATCTCTACCAGTAGTCTGCCACGCTCCAATCTCCCCATACTCTACCAGCGATAGAGAGGCGTACCACCTGTCTGGCATTACCCCATCCCTATCGCGCCATACTCTTTCTTCCAGACGTGCGGTAGTTGCGAAGGAGGGTCGCTGGTGAGAGAGCTTGCAAAACGCTTGATCGCATATCATATGACTTTCGTGTTACTGACGCTTGCCGGACGCTTGGGAAGCTGGTGGACCGCAAGTGATTGCTGATGGGACGGCTGCGCAAAGCAATGAAACCCTGGCCTCAGCGAATCTGTAACCCTGCCTCCGCTGGTGATGAAGTAGGACCTGGCGCGACAGCAGTGCCTCGGAAGTGTGTACTTGCAGATTTTGACACCATCATTACATTAAATGTATTTTGCTTAATTTATACAGTCTAGTAAAAATAAGGAGAGAGACGTCACCAACCTTTGTGGATGATCGATCGGCACAGTTATTTCAATCCTCGTCCTTTGGCCCTTCTCGGTCCGGCACTTTTCGTTCCAGTCATTTTCCGACCCTGAAGTCGAGGACTTGTTTTCCTTGTTGGGAGAAAATGCTAGGCACAGGGAAAATATCTCTTTTTTGCCTTAAAGTAATTTTTCACTTCATTTTTTTTCACAAAATCCCTCCAGGCTTCTCAAAGGGAAATTCAAAAGAAAAAATTGGAGGTCCTGTCCACCTTTAGCGGAGGGGCGAGGGAATTTCCCAAAGGTCTATTAGCTTTCTATTTACTGATCCTATGTCAGAATAATCACGTCTTACCTGATCAAGCCCGCACAGTCCTGGTCAAATATGAGAAAAAACTTTCGGCCCTGTGTATTAGATATAAGGAATTTACAAGTCGCTACAGGGACATGGGCCTTGTCGTGTTTTGTGAAACCAGCAAAATGCCCCGTCCAAGAACGCGCTAAATGGGAAATTCGAGGAATGGGCGGGGGGGAAGGAGCAGGAATGCAGGAGAGGTAGCTCAGCTTCAGATATTCGGAAGTACCCCTTAAGACCGAACCGAGCAAAAGCCTTGGTCCTCCCTCAATTCTCATCAGTTAGCGAGAAGATAGAGAACGTCAAATTCAATTTCATTTTTTTTCATTTTTTAGAATGGCATCAATTGAGGCAAGGGCATTCCAAAAATGGCTACTCTTTGATGGCAAGTGTCTTGTTTGACAGAAAGTGAACGACTTTCTCGTCTTGTCAGTTTTTATAGGATTCCGATTAGGTCGTCTTCAGATCAGGGTCTTCATAAGAATCTTACAAGAATTCAGGTTTACTTAATGAGTAATTAATACGGCATTTTTCTGGCTTGGAGGGGGCATTTTGCACTTTCGCTAGTTCCTTCTGATAGTTCGTGTTGAATAGCAGGTCTCATCCCTGCGCGTCCTCTCAATGTGGCTGTGTACAGGCTTAGCTCAGTACAATCTGATGCCCCCACCGAACCGAATCTGCGCACGATTATAGTAAGTGAAGAGAAGCACATTCAAGCGATATAAATAAAACTGGTGCGATTTCATGGCTCAGATCGTCGTTTACGCGAGTGATTTTATGGGTATTGGCTCATTTTCGTGTCAGTGACGGTTCAGCGATAAATTCAATCTGTCGTGACCGATCTCGTTCTTAATGTGGTGACGATAGTGAGAGGAACAAATGGTGTATAAAAGGCGAGTGACTCGGCGAGTGAGGGGAAATACGCCCTTTCACCGGTTCTTCCTTCGGTGATGCTATTTCTCCGACTCTTTCACTCTATTACACTCTTGGTTGTTCTCCCATAGATTTTCTTGGAGACAGTCCCAGCACGGAACGCATCCGTTCGTTTTCCATTCAGGTCCGCACTCGCATAGGGTGTACCACTTTCGTCACTCGAAAAGGTGATATAAAGCAGTCACAGACGCGTGACTCTTGTGGACTTTGTTCTTTTCACCCTGCAAGACAACAACTTACACGGTGAATCACGTGCATGCATTCGTTGTCTGCAGCGTCGTAGGACGAATTCATATTGTTGCCGGAGGGAATCTTTTTTTCGACTCTCCTGCGAGCTCACAAGTTGTTCTATTCTCCTAGATACCTTTTTGAAAACCATAATTTAGCATCAGTCCAATCCCCAAGGCAATTTGCACTTAAGCGCAGCAATGATGTAGCAGTGATGCAATCGCAATGGTGCAAAAGCTCGTCGTGCATTTTTTACCGTAGTACCAATCCCATTCACAGCTTTCAATTACCGTCCCAGTATCCTTGTTTTTCGTTTTTTTTTTCCAGAATCGGATGGTATCGGAAGATGCCAAGAAACGATTTATGATCCAGGGCTTGCACAGAAGCCGAAGGGTGTGGAGATGCCAACAAGGCCCGGGAACTCGCACAGAGAGGTTATGTGACTGTGAGGAGGGGGTCTCTTTAGGGTCTCTGGAGGTTTTTTGCTTTCCTACGGGGAAGTCGCTTTGGATGCCGATTCATAAGTGAAAACCCATTACCCGTTATACATGATCAAGGAAATTGTCTTTAAGGGTCACTCAAACTAAAGTAAGAGCGATCGAGGCCAGAACAACGGGAATCCCCCCCCCAGTTTTAATACCGCGAGATGGTCAAAAACGAAGATGTAGAGCACTTCGCACTTTCCCTACTACTTATCGACGTCCTCCTTACTTCGCAAGAGTTGACAGGTACATTTACAAGGGTTGACAAGTGGTTTCGACAAACGTTGACTAGTATAACATCATGGCCTCACACAATTTCACAGGTCTCTACTCGCTGGCTTGACACGTTCATGCTCCCCCCCCTCCCAAGCCGAACTGCGCCGAAATTTCAACTCCTAGCAAGTGATAATAGAAAAATTCTTACCACTGGGATCACATTCTTGATTCAATCTGTCATTGGCAGCTTGGTCGATTTTTCCAAGGCGAATTTTCTTTGCAGGCGACAGAATTACAAAACAGAGCAGGAACGAGAAAAAACTGATAAGCCTCGCCATGTTAGCAGAACGCCAAAAGATTCCTGTAGGCTTTTGAGCAGGTTCCTTAGGCGGCGATTTCAAAGCTTTTCCCATATGAAAACGTGTGAAATAGCCATTGTTCAGAAAAGAAATATTGTCCAAAAAGGGTGTTCACAGAGTGATGCAAATTCTATAAGAAAAGGTTCCGCGTCAGATTTCGATCTCAAGTCACGTTTGCATGGGCTAAATGATCGTTTGGGCAAACAGTGGGTTCTTCAGAAGATAAAAAGCTTCGGAAAACAGGCGGTATACAGTACCTCTGCCGAAAACTGAGTGGTAGTGTGCACTTACCGCTCCTACGTACTCAGTTTAACGCGCACTTCAGGAAACAGTATCCTGCCTGTTTTCTAAACTAGTACCTTAATAAGTTCTTTTGTAAAGGGTTCAAAGTCAGAGTACTCAGCACTGATTGTTCCCTACTCCATACCAGCGGAGGCAAGGTACAAATCGCTGAGGCAGCGTTCATACTTTGCGGCAGCGTCCACCAGCAATCACTAGCGTTCACCAGCGTTCCAAGCGTCCGGCAGCGTCAGCGACTAGGAAAGTATAGATATCGATCTAGCGTCTGCCAGCGTCTGTCAGCGTCCACCAGCGTCTACCAGCGTCCGGAGAGGAGAGTATGGCGCGATAGGAGGGTAGCAGACAGCTGGTAGAGTATGGGGAGATAGGAGCGTGGCAGACTACTGGTAGAGAGTATGGCCTGATAGGAGGGAATCAGTTGTCTGCTACCCTCCTATGACGCCATACACTCCTTTTCCGGACTCTGGTAGACGCTGGCAGATGCCCTCAGATATACGTCCGTCCTCCATGGAAATCGCGCGAGGGAAGCTCATAGTCTTGTTCCGAACCAGGTTTCAAGACCACAATCGGTTTAGATGCGATTTGCCCTTTACAACCAGCGTAAGTGCTAGCGTCGAGGGGAACTGGTCGCTCAGCACCCCTCACTTTCTCCCCTTTGGACGCCTTGACCCATATGTTTAAGATGTCCTACTGTCGCTGTTCGGCTTTGGAGGGGCACTTTGTACTCTCGCTGCTTTCTTTTGCTTTTTCGTGTTATTTGTTATTAATAGGTGTCTTTTCGACGAGACCTGTAAATTCTTCTAAAGCTGTGAGTAGCTCAAGTAGGTTACTGTGGTCGCTGGAATGTATAGGTCTTCACAAGGTAACCCGTAGAAGCTCCG